ACTACCCCTAGGACCTACCGGACTGCTAAAAATGCCAACTTTGTCTTTTCTGCCCGGACTTTCAAGTACCCCAAGATTCGGCCTTTCGGCCTTCAGGTACCCCGACATTGGACTTACCGGCCTACTTGAGTGTTTTCCCGCTACCCACCAAGGGTCGCGGGGCTGCTAGCTTCGCCACTTGAGTGTTCCCTGGCTGCACCCCTCACAAGCCACGCCACAGGTAAGTACCGGCCCTACCGGGCCTGCCCAACATCCATGGCCCCGACGGGGTCACACACACACTCAAGCACTCAGTCAGGCACGCATTCATACCCAACACAACCCACTCAACAGGCAGGGGACTTAGTACGGCATGCATTCCACGAGCAAACTCAGAAATCAGCTGTCTGTTACAGTCCGTGTGATGACGGGTCATTACAGCTGTGTTCATCTCTCCCTGTGCGGTGTGATACTCCCATCCTCTCCCCTTCCTTCTGTGTATGTATGGGCATACTTGGAAGTCTAAGTGAGCGAGTGTTGGTCTTCTGACAACAAACAACCAGGTTCATAACACAGACCTGAATTTGAATCCAGACTATATATTCTTGGCCCACTCATGCAAATCTGGAAGTCTAACACCCATCTCTGGTTCACGATGGGTCCTTGCTAGTTCACTGTAGGGGCCCTTTGGAAAAGAGACTGGACACAATTAGGACATGCACACCCACACACACACACATGCACTCACAGTTTTGGGGTATGACGTGGCCCCATCTTTTGTCCTTCTTGGAGTTTGATTTTTAGAAGCGGGGGGCATGTTTGCCCACCCCACCCTGTCCTTTCGTTTTTTTTTTTTTTTTTTTTTTTTTTTTTTTTGTGATGCGCCGCATCACATGCGCGGGCATGCATGCACGTGTGTTGCACGTGACGCGACCTGGTGCACGGAATGCACCGCAAGTATGGTTTATATTTCTCCAATCTCAAATATGAATGTGATGAAGAGGAATCAAGGGTTGACACAGTGCAGCTGCTTACTGCAGTGCTCGTTCCCATGCATGCATGGACAAATCGGACGATAGGCACTGAATACCACACAACACACATTCAATCACAGATGGAAAAGTCCCAGGAAAAAGAAAACAACGATGATCGATGTTTACTTCGAGCGAAAAGATTGACAAGACAACTACGAACTTGGAGTGAGACACAAGGCGAAGCACACTGAAGCGTGCACTGATGCACCGAGATGCAGCATTTCAGCCAATCAAGTTCCTGGCCTTGTCAAGGGGTTTACCGACCAAAGCGAGACGGTCCTGTGCGTATTTCCATTCATTCATAGTACCCTCCCTACCTCTCCCTATGCTTCCAATACCTCACCCAGTACATTCCTATTAATTATTTTCCCACAAGTCTGACAACTATGGTATTGCACTCTGGGGACTACCTTCTGACAGAACATCTGCAGACCGCGTAAGGGACGTTCGACCCGTTTTCCAGCAGGTGCTGCTCCCCACCAATTGTCTGGAGCCAACAGACGGCTTGCCAGTGGTGGGGGCGCGGATCACCATCGCTAGCAGGGCCAACTGCTGTGCCTTTTTTTTTTTTTTTGTAAAGAACATCTGCAGACTCTTCTGGAAAATTCTGTTGGGCTACCCTGCAAGCGTATGGCCGCGTTTCAGTGAGAGCAGTCGTTCCTCCATTCGGCTCGCTGTCAGCATATACACGTTGGATCGTCGTTGATCCTATCCAGGGTCCCGTATGCTGTCGTCTTCACCCCAATAGATAGTACGGTCTTTATAGCGCTATGTAGACTGAAAGTTGCCCCGAATACAGCTATAACGACCATAGGACGTTCGTTGTACGGGAAGGAAGACGGTAGCGTTCTCTTCCGCTTGTGACACACATACGACCAAAAATCTTGAGCATACGGATGTCTTCTGCCCAAATCTTATCATATTTCTTCACTCTGAATCAACACTGTGCCCTCCCCTGCGGCTTTTTGGCTTTTTTGAAGTTTTTTTTTCCTTTTACCAAGTTTTTAGGTTATGTCTTTCGTTACTTCTTAAAGTAAGCTGTATGTTGTAGCTGCCTGGTTGCTGAATGGCACACAATTCGCTATGAACAGTTCAAGACGTGAAATCCAATTTGGATCCAAAAAACTCAAGGGCTACCCATCTAAAAGGGGGAGAAAAGGGTAACTGGATGTTCTGTCATGTCTACTGCACTATAATTCAAAACTTGTCTTGTTATGTCACAGGAAATTTGTCATGTATTGAAAACATTTTTTTTTTTTTAAAGTCATCATGTTCATGAGCTGGCACTGGGCACACTTGCTACCTGAAGGCCTATGAGTATCTAATCCTGTCTGCTTTTTTCTTTTGTAACGACCCGCCAAAACACAGACTGAGAACACTGCTGATTTCTGGGATTTGCACTAGAGGGCAGAGCCCTTAGTAGTTGGCATAGCTTTGGCATGTGAGAGGAGGAAGAAGGGGGAAGCCATGACTATGGTGGACCTGTTGTTGTGCTGGCAGTGAGAGGGAACTTCGGATATTGATTCTGGCTCATCCACTCATTGTTATTTTTATTATTTGGAAGAAGAATAAGATTGGCGAAGATAAGGAGGAGGAGGAAAGTGGAGATAAGGGGGGTTTGTCATTGGTCTTGCTGGTGTACATCTTCTTCTTCTTCTTCTTCTTCTTCTTCTTCTTCTTCTTCTTCTTCTTTCTCTCTTCTTCTTTGGTCTCTATCTCTTTGTAAGTGCTTTCATTTCTTTCCTTGTGAATTTGCACTTCGGAAATGACCAGGATCGCAACACTTTTTTCTATTTTTAAGTTTTTTTTTCCTTTTTTCTTTTTTCTTTTTTCCTTTTTATCCGTTTCCTCTCTCTTCTTTGAAAAGGGTGATGGCCTTGAGATATCATCATTGCACCGATAGGCCCCATGTATTCTGTTGCTCTCGTTGCATCTGGATTTGAACTCAGGTCTGTTTGTCAACAGTTCATGGGTGTACCAACTGAGCTAGTCCAGTTGGTTCCTGCTTTTGTCGCTGTAAGGTGGATCATTTCTCACAAACCTAGAATTGTTTTATGATCCTTCCCTGTAGTGTCTCCAGCGACTCCCACATTTTCCCATTTTCTCGTCTTTTCTTTTCTTCTATCCTCTCCCCTCCTCTCCTCTCCGCTTTCCTCTTCCCTTCTCGTCTCTTTAGTTCTCTGCCTTCTCTTTTTCCTTTTTGTTTTCTTAAGTAAGACGATCCCTGGATTTGACTTGGATTGTGTCACCAGGTTGCCTTGATGAGGAAAAGTTTCCAGTCAGCCCTGGACGTGTTGGTAGCCCTTTGGCTGGAGCAGAGAGGAGCAAGAACTCATCGCAGCGCTTGTCACTTAACCCACTGGGAACAATTGTCAGAGAGACGCCAAATACAGTGCAGAATCTCTTCGGTGTGGTAAGAGAGGAAGGAGGCATTGGAGGAGTGTCTAGGGAAGGAAGGGACCATGGGAGGACCTCTGGAGGAGGGCAAAGAGGGAGGAAGCGATTGGCGGCAGACAGTGACGACAGGCGGGGAGAGCAGAAGAAAAGGAAGGAGGAGGATGTGCTCCAAGCGAGCGACACCTATGGTGACGATGATGGGCTGGACATGGCAGATGATATGTATCTCAGCGCTTTTCGTGTGCATCTTGTTGGGTTCAATAAGGAAGACATGATGAAATGGGTTAACATGGTCAGAGATGGAGGTGGAACCCGCTTCATGGCTTTCAACGACATGGTGACACATGTTGTCGTGGGGCAGCCAGCGAAAAGGTAGGCGGTGAGATTTCCTTGCTGTGCTTGTTCCATTTGCCGTGGCTCAGCAACGCATTATGCAGCTATGTATGACTTGGAAAGAAGTTCAGAGAACACAGAAAGAGAGGTTAAGGTATTCTTGGGTGGCCCTTATATTCCTGGAGTTCACTGAAGTTTGGTTTGGGGGGTGAATGTACAGCACGCCGCCGACGCCACCGCTCTCACGACGGTGGCACAGGCAGCTGATCCCGTAGGTTTACTGGGATAGTCCAGTGCAAGAAAAATGAACAAGTTGCAAAAATTGCAGAACAGGAATGGTGCAAGGCTGCAACCACATTTATCTGCCTCGGCTGAATTGCTGGGAAGACAGCGCGGGGGTTCATCCGCCGAGTTTGAATATTGAAATGCAGACGGAAGGCATGTCTCATTTCCTTGATGAAAGTCCTATGTTGAATTGCGTTGTTTTGGTGTGAGATGTAGATGTAGTTTATGATACCTTCCGCCGAATTACAGGCAGCGTGGTGGGTGGGGAGGGGATAGGTGGACCTGTGAAGTTTTGGCTGAGACATTTACATGGAGGAAATGTTGGATGGTTTTTGCAGAATGACAGACAACAGGGG